ACTTCTGCCCTTCCAGGCAATTCTTCGCTTTTTTCTGATAGAGGTGTGCCTTCTCCCCTGGTTGTATTGATGGTGATGTTGAGGGGTGACAATTCTTTATGGCCAGTACTTTTTCCTATTACTGTAACCCTTTATTCTGCCCCTCAGAATTTTTGCTTGCTAAGTAGCTTTGACTGGCCTATACTCACTCTGTAGCCCAGATTAGTCTCAACACTCTACAGTCCTCTTTCCTCAGCCTCCCAAGTACAGAAATTGTCCTGTGCCACCATTCTAGTCAATTCTGGTTATTAGTGTGGGTTTGTGTGTGTGTGTGTGTGCGCGCGCGCACATGCACACACATTTAGGATGTTAGCTTGTCAATTTTAAGTATTTTTAGGTGTTTTTATTTATTCATTTTTCGAGACAATTTTTCTGTGTAACAACCTTGACTGTCCTGGAACTTACTCTGTAGACCAGGCTGACCTCGAACTCACAGAGATCCACTTACCTCTGCTGCATGAGTGCTGGGATTAAAGGTGTGTGCCACCATCGCTCAACTATTTTTTTTAGTTTTTTATTTATTGTTTTTTTGAGGCAAGGTCTCTAGCTCTAGACTGTTCTGGAACTTGCTATATAGACCAGGCTGGACTTCAACTTACAGAGATCTGCCTGCCTCTACCTCCTGTTCTGGGATCAAAGGCATGCACCACCACTCCAAGCCTGAGATTTCTTTTAACTGTTTCTTTTTGCTTTTAAGCAATCTTACTTGGGGACAGACAGATTACAGCAGAAGAATTGCTTTCTACTTCTCAGGTTCTGAGTCTGGAAAAACAGAGCTTAATAGGCATCTTTGTTATTTGTTATTAGTCTTTCGGCAATCTACTTTAGGGTTCTTGGGATGAGATGATGAGAGAAAACCTGCCTCTTTTAGAGTGAGAAGACTGATTAATTGGCTCAGGGTCTGCATGCTGAGTTTTCAGACCCAAATTTAACCACTGAACCAGCAAAAATATTTACCTAATACCTGTTATATTTTAGCAGTATTCTAAGAATTTTACATAGCCAGGCGGTGGTGTCACACGCCTTTAGTCCCAGCACTTGGGAGGCAGAGGCAGGTGGATCTCAGTGAGTTTGAGTTTGAGGCCAGCCTGGTGTACAGAGTTCCAGGACAGCCAGGACTTTCAAGAAGTAATCATCTTGAAAAACAAACAAAAAAGGAATTTTATACATTTTCATTTAGTTTGCCCTTGTGAGAGATAGGTATTCTGTCCTCAATGTTTACATCTGGGTGGGTGACGGGTTATATAGCCCAAGGTGAATGGAGAATCTGAACAGAGTGAATTTGGAACCTGACTTGTTTGGAGTGGATGAGTGTGTGTGTGTGCATGCATATAAAATCTTTTGCTTAGAAACCATTTATCGATTCAGTGATTAAAATCACTGAAAGTTGATTTTAATAATTGAGGTAAATATGCTGAATGCAGACATTTGTAATCTTGACTGAATGTCAATGTAAAGTCTATAGAAACAGGTCTCTGAAGAGACACTCATTTTGTTTATGGTTAAAGATAATTCTCCTAAAGGTAGAAATGCCCTTTTTAAGGATGGAGTCCTTGATCTTAGTTGGTTTGATTATATTCCTATAAAACAGTTGAATCTGGTTGTTTTTGAGTACATGTTCCAAGCTTCAAGGTGGTTTTCCTTACGTAAAATATCTTAATATTTTCATTAAATTGGAGAGATGGTTCAGTGATTAAGAGTGTATACTGCTCTTGCAGAGGACCTGGGTTCAGTTCCCAGCATCATATGGCAGCTCACAACTGCTTGTAACGCTGCTCCAGGGAATTCAACCTCTCTCCTGACCTTGGGAATCTGCTTTCCATGTGCACACACACCTTATGATTACAAATAAAACGAACATTTTAAAAAGATGGTTAATTTCCTTTTTAGGCAAGATTTTGAAGAATAATCAGGAATTCTGGTTCTATCTTATGGATAGAGATGAAATTAGCCATTTCCCCCTAAAATCTAGTTCTTCTGTTTGAGAATTTAACTGTTTTCACTTGACCACTACTTCCTGTTCATGGGGAAACCCCGACTGAAAGGCACTAAGAAACTTCTGGGGAAGGGGTTTCTAGATCGCATAGTATTGGCATTAGAATGGTTTTGTAATCCTGAAACTTCATTTACTCACAGTTTGAAAGAGCAGCTAAAGAGAAGCAGCTATACACAGGAGGAGGGGAAGCAAATTTTTAGAGACCTTGAAATGAATCTTCTAAGGTGGGGAAGAAGCAGAGACTAGTATATACTGAATGAAAATGCAAGGACATACTATGTCCAGGGTCAGACCTAGAACATATTTTAGTTATCTTTTTCCTTAGTTTACATGTAGATGTTAACTTATCTTTCTGAAACATCAAGAGAGACTGATAGATGCAGGGAACATATAGTAGTTTAGCTAAGAGTTGTTTCAGAAACTCATTCTCTGTCCCCTCCTGTCTTAGGCTGACCAGTTCTCTGGTGGTTACTGCTACTGATCCATCCAAACTGCTGGACTTCTCGTTCATACCCAAGGCCTCCAGGCAGTATCTAATGGGGAACCAACACTAAAAGGAACCAGACCATCATTTCCCAGCCCTTTTATTCTGGTGACTGATGGAAGAGTGGGAGAGCAATATATTGGCTTGTTTAATGGGTGGAAAAATAGATCAAGTTACTGTACCTCTTCAGTTTCTGATCTCAAGAGTTCTGCAACTATGCTACTTGGATCGTATATATTGGGGAAAGCTGAAGATGTGTCTTTCATTAGAAGTGTCTGGAGAGGATAAGAGTCAGTTTGAAATATGGTGATGTCCTGAAATAATGTACCCATCTGAGGAATTTTTAAAAGCCAGTTTATAAAAATACCATAGATAGAGCCTTCCCCCTCATTTCCCCACCATGGATTTCTTGGACTGGAGACTCGTGTTTAATAATAGCTTGTCTCTGATATTCACAGTAGCTACTCTATGTAAGGAAAGGATAGAAAACATTCAAGACTTCATACGAGCTTATGATCTACAGATTCCAACCATTAGCAGTGGCTGACTCCTACACAGAAGACTGGAACTGCAAACAGGCTGGGGTCACCTTAGTGACATCTGACGCTGTCCAACCAGAAGTCTGACTTCGTTCAGGGGGAGGAAGGGGTGAAAATGTACTAAAAGACTAAAATAATTTTCTCTATATACTTGTTCTCATTTGTAGTTATTGTTTGTTTTTTAACCCTGGCGGGAGAGGGTTTATATATAATTTCCTGTATCCGGAATGAAAGGGAAGGACGGGGAAGCACAGTCCTTCACCCAAGAATAACCCAGTAATGACATCTGAACGCGTGGGAAGTGTTTCCCTCCACACTAGGAGGATCTAAGACTGGATCCTAGTGGAATTCCCTGCTCAAATTGGAAGGCCACGCAAAGGGCGATGGCGTTATACAAGAGTGTCGAGAGAGCTTAGTTGGCCAGGGATGAAAATCCCGGAGGGTAGGGACACTGAAAGCCTACGTCCTCCTAGTTCGTAGGTGGAAGCTGTGATGGGTTTGGCCGACTGAAGAGCCAGGTGACCGACCGGAGCTCTGACTGCTGCTGAGGGTATGATGAGGACGCCACGCCGCTGGGCACCGAATAAGAGTCACGCAAGACAGCCCAGCTGTGCCCAGCGGGCCAGTGCCAGACCCTGGCGTCCTCCATCTTCTCTCCTGAGCTCCCCCTGCTCCAGCTGCCTGAGCCACGGACCGCAGCATCACACACCCCCGCGGGGGGGGACGCCGCGCCCCATCCCCG